GACGGGGAGACACGAGAGAAGACAGCAAGACAGTGTTCTGATCAAGCTGCAAATTTTATTCTCCTCAGCAAGGCTTATATAGCATGGGAGGGGGAGGGGGCAGGAAGGAGGGAAGGGGTGCACGACAGTGCCATACCTGCAGGTGAAGGGGGATGTGCAGGTGAAGGACTACGTGCAAGTCGTGAGGGTGTTGTGCTAGGTGGTAAGGTCATTGGTCAGGGCCCGTTGTTCTGTTGCTATGCTACCTGACCTGCCTGACCTGTTCTTTTTTTTTTTTTTTTAAGATTTATTTATTTATTATGTATACAGTGTTCTGCCTGCATGTATCCCTGCAGGCCAGATGAGGGCACTAGATGTCATTACAGATGGTTGTGAGCCACCATGTGGTTGCTGGGAATTGAACTCGGGACCTCTGGAAGAGCAGCCAGTGCTCTTAACCCCTGAGCTGTCTCTCCAGCCCCCTGACCTGTTCTTTATCTTTGGGGGCGTCTGGTTTAGGGCAGGGACTTGTTCTCTGGCCTAGCTAGTACTTTTCCATGGTCCATGTTTGGTCCCTGACATTTGAGGACCACCAAAAGACCACCATGGAGACTGAATCACATATGTAAAAGCAAAGAGCCTTTATTTCAAGCTCCAAGCTTGGTCTCTCTGTCTGTCCCATGCAGTGGTGTGAGCAGAGAGCTCGGAGCCCAGACAAGGTGGGGTTTTTATCATAGCAGAGGTTGGGGTGAGGGGATTTCTAGGGTTTAGGACCCCGATTTTAGCTGACATTTGTGGTGATATTTTGTTGTACCTAATAAAATTTGCCAGAAGATTAGAGGACAGAACATGTCACTAGATTAAACATAGAGGTCAGGCTGTGGTGGCACACACCTTTAATCCTAGCACTCAGAAAGCAGAGATCTGTCTGGATCTCTGTGAGTTCAAAGCCACCCTGGACTACATGAGATTATTCAGTCTGGGAGAGAAACAGAGCCAGGCAGTGATGACACATACCTTTAATCCCAGTACTTGGGAGTCATAGACCTTTAAACCCAGCACTTGAGATCTCAAGCCTTTGCTAAGAGTCTTTGGGAAGCACACACACCTTTAAGGAAGTGAAATGGCTGGTCAGAGGAAGGCATATAAAGCGTGAAGAGACAGGAACTAGAAACCCTTTCAGCTGAGGACTCAGAGGTTTTCAGTCAGAGGATTCCTGGAGGTAGGATCTCGCCTTCCATTCGGCCTGAGGATTCGGTAGTGGTGAGAATTTTCTCTAGTGGCCTGTTCCTTTGTCTCTCTGATTTTTCAGCATTTACCCCAATATTTGGCTCCAGGTTTTTTGTTTGTTTGTTTGTTTGTTTTATTAAAAGACCATTTAGGATTCATGCAACAGACATTTGTCTAGAGGTATAGGGAATGTTTGGAATGTCAGGTATTTCCTGTTAGATGCAGGCTCTCCCCAGGAGGGGGTCAGCTTATGGTTTTTCCTGGGTCCAGATGTTGCCTGCAGAAGCTATGTCTCAGCTTCTAAGCCTGTCATGGCAGCTGTGTGGTCCAGCTGTTTTGGGCCCCCTCACAAGGATGTGGTGTTTAATTTTAATTGGCATGTTAATTAGTTGAGCTAAAGGGGTCTTTTGATTGTTGGATTTCAATACTTTGATAGCTGGACTTTGGTAGTCAGTCTCAGGGGGAAGGGTTAGCCAAATAAGGGAATGGACCCTGGGGGCTAGCTTCTGGAATGTAATCTAACAGTTTGTAGTAAGACAGAGGGAATTGGGGAGGAGGGCAAGGCCTGTTAGAACCACATTCTCGAGTGGGCGAGTGTCCTCTCAACCACTGTGTCTGGCCCCAGTTTCCTTCCTTTTGAGAGTCGTTGCTTCAGAATTGACTTGCATAAGATCAACTCATGTCTTCCTACTAGCAAGACAAGCCCTTTATCAACAGGACCACCCCTCACAGCTCTTTTCTGGTTTCTAAAAGGAGCGTCTGCTCTGTAGACAAGGATGGCCTCCAAGTTACAACAGTCCTCTTTCTTGGGTTTCTCCCACAGGCTTGATAACATGGGTTTAGTTCCCAGAACCCAAGTGAAAAAACTAGAGTGGTGGCTTGAGCCTTTCACCCCAGTGCTGGGGAGGAGGAAATAATAGGATCCCTCGGCTTGCAGACCAGCTGAAAAAGCCGAACTGACAAGCTCCTTCAGTGAACTTTCCTGAGAGACTTGTCTTTAAAAATAAAGTAGAGAGAGAATAAGATACCTGATGCTGACTGACTTCTGGCCTCCATACACATGAGCACATGTACACACACGCGTGCGCACACACACACACACACACACACACACACACACACACACACACACAAAGGTGTGGTGGGATACCTTAGTTGTAAAGTGATTACCTAAGCATGCCTGAAGTGCTGGGCTGAATCCCTGTTACCTTAGTATCTATATCTGTATATGTACACATATAAATATACAGATGTGTATATGTAAAGGGTAGGTTTTATTTCATTTTCTTTATTTTTGATGCAGGCTGTCACCATATAGGTCTGACTGGCCTGGAACTTGCTACGTAGACCAGGCCTCTGCTTCCCTGTGTGGTGTGTTTGGTATAAGCTCGCACATATACATGTGTATATGGAATGTGTAGGTTTGTGGGTTTGGTTTTATAATGCAGCTGTTAGTTCAGTTTACCAGTATAGGCACATTTTGCCTAAAGCCTGTTGGGGTTGTGAGAATTTGGGGCCCAATTTGTGTTTATTTGTTTCGAGACAGTTTCTCTTTTTAGCACTGGCTATTCTGGAACTAACTATGTAGACCAGGCTGGCCTTGAGAAATTCACCTGCCTTTGCCTCATGAGTGACAGTATTAAAGGCTTGTGCCGCCACCATCCAGTTTAGGCTCCAATTTTTTTTTTTTTTTTTTTTTTTTTTTTTTTTTTTTTTTTTTTGGTTTTTCGAGACAGGGTTTCTCTGTAGCTTTGCGCCTTTCCTGGAACTCGCTTTGGAGACCAGGCTGGCCTCGAACTCACAGAGATCCGCCTGGCTCTGCCTCCCGAGTGCTGGGATTAAAGGCGTGCGCCACCACCGCCCGGCTCCAATTTTTATAGTAAGCTGTTGCTTCATTTTCTGACTTAGAAGACTAGATCTTTGACAGAGAGACTTTCATTGACGTGCAGGATACAGGGCTGAGAATATAGCACCCTGGTAGAGTACTTATTTGTTTAACATGTGAAAGCCTAGAGTTCAATTACCAGTTTTTTGTTTGTTTGTTTGATTTTTGTTTTGTTTTATTGGTTTTTTGAGACAGAGTTTCTCTGTGTAGATTTGGAGCCTGTCTTGGAACTCACTCTGTAGACTAGGCTGGCCTCGAACTCACAGAGATCTGCCTGCCTCTGCCTTCCTAGTGCTGGGATTAAAGGCGTGCGCCACCACAGTAGATATGTGGCAGTCAGAGGATAGCTAGTGGGAATTGGTTCTCCCACCAAGTGGGTCCTAGAGATTAAATTCTGATCATCAGCCCTTGCAGCAGGAACCTCTCACGTGTTCTAGCTTGGGCTCTAAATTCTCCTGCCTCACCTCCTATGTGATGGAAATACAGGTGAGCACCACTCCATCTGGTTATTTGGTGTCTGTGGTGAACCTAGGGCTTCATGCATGCTAGTCACGAATGCTACGGTTTGCTACATCCCCAGCCCTAGGAAAAATCTCACTATGTAACTACGGTATTCCCTTTGTAGACTAGGCTGGCCTCGAATTTATCCAGCTTTGTACTTTGTATCATTTTTAAAAAACTGGGCATTGAAGCCAGGCAGTGGTGGCACAAGCCTTTTTAATTCCAGCACTCGGGAGGCAGAGTCACAGAGAAACTCTGTGAGTTCAAGGCCAGACAGGTGTACAGAGCGAGTTCCAAGACAGAGATCTACCTGCCTCTGCCTCAGATATGCTGAGACTAAGGGCGTGCCCCACCATACCTATCAGTATATATATTTTTGAGACAGGGTCTGGTGCAGCCCAGGACTCAATGTATAATGAAATACTGGGGATTATGTGGGCTACCATGGTAGGTTGAAATTTTGTTTTTGTTTTTTGTAACAGGGTTTCTCTGTGTAATAGCCCTGGCTGCCCTGGAATTCTTTGTAGATCAGACTGGCCTCGAACTCACTGTGATCCTCCTGCCTCTGTCTCCTGAGTGCTGGGATCAAGAGTGTGTGCCGGGCTGGAGAGATGGCTCAGAGGTTAAGAGCACTGACTGCTCTTACAGAGGTCCTGAGTTCAATTCCCAGCAACCACATGGTGGCTCACAGCCACCTAATGAGATCTGGCTCCCTCTTCTGGTCATACATGCTGTATACATAATAAATAAATAAATCTTTAAAAAAAAAAAAAAAAGAGTGTGTGCCACTATGCGCACAACGGTTGAAATATTTTTTTAATTCTTTTTAGATTTATTTTGTTTTTATTAATGTCTGTGTGTTGGGTTATGTGCACGTTGATTGTAGGAGCCCTCGGAGGCCAGAGGAGGGCGTGAGATCTCCTGTGGTTGGAGTTACAGGTGGTTGTTAGCCACCCAGCGGAGCTCATCGAACAAGTCCTCCGGAAGAGCAGTTGGAGCTCTTAACTACTGAGCCATCTCTCCTGCCCCAAGGCCGAATATTTTCAATAGTCAAAAAAAGAAGGAAAAAAAAAAATCAAGCTTTTGCTCGGCAGCGAGTCTCTAACCAAAGCTACAATTTTGGTCTGTTTAATCCTCATTGCAGACAGTTCTGCAACGTTTTTCACCCCTTTCACAGAGGCTCAAAGAGCCCTGCAACGAACCTTGAACTCTAGCTTCCGGCCTGGTTTGGGAACAAACTCCACAAACAGGAAGGGATTAAAAAGCCCCCTTTACCACAAACACCTGCGACTTCCGAGGTTTCCCCTACCCGCCCCCAAACCTCAGCGCGCCTGCGTCTCCCGCCGGGTGACGTCACGGCCCCGCCCCGCCCCCTCCTGGAACGCGGAGCGGCCGGGCGGGCGGGCGGGCGGCCATTTTGTGAGGCGGCGTCGGAGGTGCTGGCTGCAGTGGGCTCCGGGAAGCCGTTCGGGCTGGGGCTGTCGGCCGCGGGGCTGAGGCACTCGCGCGGGGGGTAACTCGGGTCTGGGTTCTGGTGCCGCGCAAGCTCTCCCCGGTAAGACTCCCGCAGCCCCGGAACGGGCGGGGCTGTGTGGGGCTCGAGCCGCCTCCTTGGTGCCTCGGGGCGGGGCCTTCCCAGGCCTCGGAGCCCGCGGCCGCGAGCGCCCTACACAAAAGGGTCGCGGCGAGGCTGAGGGGGTCCTGGGGTGCCGCTTCCGCTCTGCGGCCTCCGAGGATGCGAAAGGTGCGGCCGGCGTGCCCAAGTGGGAACGAGGCCGTAGCGGGGACGCCCCGGTGGTCCTGAGGGCAATCGACCAGCACTGGGTGGCCCCGCGGCCTGCGAACCACCGGGGCGGGGGATTACGGTGAACACGCCTGCACGCGGAGTGGGGAAGGTTTCTTGGGCTTCAAACGGGGCCGAGGTTTTTAACTCGCCCCCCTCCCCCACCCCCGTGCCCCGAAGTGAAGAGGTCCCAGTGGCCTATGACCAGCAAAAGGGGACTACACTCGGGGACACGTAGGAGGAGGAAGCTCTCCTGGAAGGCCAGGAACCGGCCACCTTCAGGGGCTGAAGGTGCAGGGGTTGCAGCGAAGTGCTTCCTATGTCCAGCGCTGAGGAGGGGCTTACTAGGGAGTATAGGGAATCTGGAGCCGCCCTGTAGCTAAGGAGGAGGGGGTGAAGTCTCGAGAATTGTAGCAAGGATAGCTGGTCCTTGGTCTCCAAATAGGGAAGGGGCTGCGCCCTGCAGCACCTTTACTGCACCTTTGGGGAGGAGCTCCAGGGAGGAAGGAGGTGGTAGGTGCCTTAGATAGCTGTGTGAAGGTTGGCGGCGCTAGTTTGCAGCTGTGAAATAAATAGATGGGAAGGCCTTTAAGGATCTACAGGTTAGTGATGGGCTGTAGAGTAATGGAGCGGTTTTGAGCCCGTTGGTAAGCCTGTGGACTCCTGTGTGGGTTTCATAGTGAAGACTTGGAAGGACTCCCAGGTAGTCTATTCAGGGTTAATTCAGTGCAAAAGATCCATTCATTCTGGTAGATAGTGTATGTAGAGAATTTCAGGCTATGTTGCAGTATTCTGGGTCCTAAAGCCTTCTTGACTCAGATTCACATAGATGACTGAATGTGTGCAGTTGGCAGGAATCATCTTATGTTCCTTAAGTTGATGCCAGTCTACGTAACCTGGTGGGAAAAACTAGGATGGCAACTGAAGGGAGAGACTGCGTGGACTGTTTCTTCAGACTTCTTGGATAGTTTGAAATGTAAATTTTGGTGAACTTCAGTCTTAGAAACGAAAATTGTTCGGGACCTTGTTAACCAGTGTATACTGTTAAAGTGTTAAAGAGCATTTGCAGTTGGAAAAAATTAATAGAAATATAAAACTGATGTTTTTGAAAATTGTTACTTTTGTTGAGACGGAGACTTGGATTTGGTGGAAAGTGATTGTGTCTGGACGTTTTTCTAAGGCTATTAAAAATTGGAAGAACTGCTCACATAACTTCCCTAAAGTAATTTTTGAAGGAAATGAAATGTTTGTGTTTAGGTGAGTTCACAAGGCTGTGCTTATTGTGTATTGGATAGTTTGTCAAAATATGTTACATTTTTATTATCGTCTTATGCTTGATTAAATGTTGGTCACTATGGGTTGTAATGCATTTTAATTTTATGTTCAAATCTGTCAGGTGAATATGTGGCGCTTTAGAAACAACTGGTCGTTATTGTTCTAGACTTTAGGCTTCTTTTACTCTTGTGACATGTTGAATGTTTTGATTGACTGCCTATTGAAAGTTTTGGACTTCTTGGTACTATTTTTGGGTGTAAAACTTCATTTTATACTTCCGTTTCATACTGTGGCCAAGATACTAGAATCCAGTGCTCGTGTTGATGGTCCTGTTCCAGTTTGCAGAGAGCACTCCACTGTTTGATTTGTGGAGGTCTGGAGGTTTTTGTCTGTTCCTCATTGAAGATAGGCTCTTGTTAGGTAGCTTAGGCTGCCACTGGACTATTTAGTAAGCCCCCGGAGTCACTGGGATAATAGTTGGCTGGCAGTATTTAGAATAAATGATTTCTTCTGAAAATGTTGTTAGTAATTGGTTGCACAATGTGTACTTTTAAAAATCTCTCTAAAATGGAGAATCCAGTTTAAAACCTAAAGCCTAGTCTACTTTTTTTTTCAATTGTATGGGTGTTCTGCCTACACGTATGTCTTACGTTTCATGTTCATGCTTGGTGACCTCAGGCCATAAGAGGGTGTCAGATCCCCTGGAACTGGAGTTATAGATGGTTGTGAGCTGCCATGTGGGTGCTGGGAATTGACCTGGGTCCTCTGGAAGAGCAGCTAGTGATTTAACCACTGAGCAGTCTCACCAGCTCTAGCCTACATATTATATTCTTAATGAATAAAACTCATAAAAATGAATACTTGCTAAAAGTTTTAGGTTAGACTACACAGAAAAATAATTTCACTTGTAGTTCTGGCAGTTTCACTACCAGCCACCTATGTACCCTTTGGTTTACAGAGTTTTTAAATTCAAAGCCATAGTGAAAGTAGATGTGGTTAGTTAGGCTAGAAGCAATATTTTTGTTTTGACGTATAAATGAATTAAAAAGGACATTTTTGTTGGTATCAGTAATAACAATATTCAAATCTTTTTGGCAGGAGGGGTGTTTTATTTCAAATGTCTTGATTTACTATTGCCTCTGAGTACTAAATGGAAAGTTAATGTGAAAATTCAGTGTTATCCATTTTTATCAGTGTCAGAAGAATGTATTCATAAGAATGGTCCCAGGATCTGAAATGTGTTTTATTTGTGATGGGGGACAAACTCGGGGATGAAGTGTGATTTCATGATGACTCTGATGCGATTACACTGCTGATAACATTGTGCCTGTTGTAATAGAAACTTTGTTGCTGGTCTCTGAGGTGAACGTATAAGGGGTTGCTGGGATTTTTCTTTTGGATCTGAAGTATGTAGCTCTGCTTTACCCTGATTCCTGTAAAGAGTGATGCCTGAACAAAGTGAAAATCATTTCTCAGTGTTTATTGCCGTTGCCAGATAAAGAGTGGAAAAGCTGGAGTTTTAGTTTATACCTTTTCTTCGTAATGAAAAGGTTTGTTGATGGACATTTTTTTACTTTGAAGTTTCAAATAATCGGAATGGCTGGTAAATAAAGTTTATCTTGTCATAATATGCAAATACTTATAATTTATGTTTGTATCTAGTATCTGTTGTATTGAAGCAAACATCTGTTAGGAAATGAAACGCAAAATAAACTAAACAAGCTTGTTGTTTTAGGTCTTTTGAACTATGTCAATGGATCTGTGGCAAACCAGGGTCAGTTTTCTCCTTGCCTGTCCCTATACTTTATATAGATAAAAGGTGTATGTTTATAAGATAAGAGGCTCTGTGTAGTCCAGTCCAACTTCAGACTCTCAGTCTTCTCCCTCTGCCTCCTAAGTGCTAGCATTGCATGTACACATTGTCTAGCTACAATACCTGTTTTTATTTATCTTTTCGAGACAGGGTCTCACTGTGTGGCCCTGGCTGTCCTGGAACTCCTGTAGACAAGGCTGGCCTCGAACTCCAGAGATCCACCTGGCTCTGTCTCCGAGCTTTGGGATTAAAGGCACGTACCACCACATATGGCTCAATACTTTTTTTTTTTTTTTTTGCATAGAATTATTTCACTCGTGTCCTTCCAAAGTTCACCAGAGCTTCAGGTGAGTGGGATAGATTTTTTTTTTTAGTTTGGGATCCTGTATTCAATTAGGCACTAGCTGATATTTTAGCACACATGAATAAGCAGACTCTTGGAAAACAGTACTCCCTCCGTTGTTTATGGTCTTGGGGCTGGAGAGATGGCTCAGCAGTTAATATTATATATTCTTCCAGAAGACCAGGGTTCAGTTCCCAGAACTTACATGGCAACCCAGATCCATCTGTACCCCCAGTTCCAGGGGATGTGACACACTCTTCTGGCCTCCACCAGTACTTTGTGCATGTGGTATAGGCATGTAGGTAGAACATGCACACACATAAAGTAATAGAAATACTCTGAACTGATAAAAATGACTGGTCTTTACAGGGTGAGTAGCTGAAACAAAAGTGCTGTAGTTTTCAGTTTCCATTTGCCTTCCTTGTGAAAGAAGAGCTGTGCTAGAAAAGGTCTGAAGTGCTGGTACTTAGCCCTGATGTGCACAGTTCTCCTTGGTATGCGGGTGCTTCAGATGGCACTTCTTGTGTGGGGATTGATTCTGTACTGTAAGTTGAACAGAAATTTAATGACACATTTGCTGAGATCAGCTGGGCTTTCAACATTTCTTGATGTAATAAGAATTTTCCCTATTGTTAATTTCTTGGAACCTTGTAGATATAGGGAGTTCCCTTTAGGCATAACTGCTGACCTAAATTTATCCTTCTCAGGGTGGATGTGGGATGTCTTGTGTCTGAAAGGGAAGAAAAGCGTTAGGAACCTCTCAGTTCCCTAATATGTGGGAGATAAGCTCCAGGCCCATACCCTGTGTGTTTTGTGTTTTGTTCCTACCCTTTTTTTTTTTTTTAAAGATTCATGTATTTATTATGTATACAGTGTTCTGCCTGTAGGCCAGAAGAGGACGCCAGATCTCATTATGGATAGTTGTGAGCCACCATGTGATTGCTGGGAATTGAACTCAGGCAGGACCTCTGGAAGAGCAGCCAGTGCTCTTAACCACTGAGTCATCTCTCCAGCCCCTCCTACTTTGTTTTTTTGGATACAAGATTCTCATTATATCCTAGCCGGACTTGAATTCCCTATGTAGTCAGTGTTGGCTTTAAACTCAGGATCCTCCTGCCTCTTGCCTCTTGTAGCACTGAGGTTACAGGCATTCACTACAACACCCTGCTATACCAGATATTTTGAATTAGAATCTCAATAGGTGTCAGATGTTTAGCAAAAAAAAAAAAAAGACAAAAACTAGAAATTTACCCTGGTTCTGTAGCTCTTAGGGTTGAGCCTTTATGCAGTGAGAGATAAGTATTGCCATAATTGTTCTTGTTGCTTTATTTGAAGCAAACTTTCTGTTTTGTATTTCCCTAGTTGTAGAAACTGCTAGGTACAGCTTTTGGTTTTGTATTTTTTTGAGACAGGTTTCTCTGTATAACCCTGAGTGTCTTGGAACTCACTCGTAAAACAGGTTGACCTCAAACTCAGAGATCTGCCTGCCTCAGTCTCCCAAATGCTGAGATCAAAGATATAAGCCACCACAGCTGGCTTACATACAACTTTTAAATGAAGAGTTTATTAGGATCTGTGAGACGGCTCAGTGAGTAAAGGTACTTACTGTCAAATCTTGACCACCTCATTTTAATCTCAAGGACTCATATAGAAGGAAAGAATTGACTCCCAAAAGTTGTTCTTTGACCTCTACACACATAGGCTGTGGCTTTTCTTTTTCTTTTCTTTTTTTTTTTTTTTTTCAAGACAGGGTTTCTTTGTGTATTTTTGGTGATTAAAAAGTATTACTGGCCGGGTGGTGGTGGCGCACACCTATAATCCCAGCACTCGGGAGGCAGAGCCAGGCGGATCTCTGTGAGTTCGAGGCCAGCCTGGGCTACAGAGTGAGTCCCAGGAAAGGCGCAAAGCTACACAGAGAAACCCTGTCTCAAAAAACCAAAAAAAAAAAAAAAAAAAAAAAGTATTACTGTGGCTTACTTGATCTCACATTTTAATAATGAGTATCATTCAGATAAGTAGTTTTATTGGTAATCTCAGTACCAGAGAGTGGCAGGGTTTTCTCATTCTCTGAATTTAAAGATGGAGTTTGTCTGGGACCTTGGTTCAATGCATAAAGCTGTGGAAGCATGAGGACCCTCAGAGTCCATATAAAGGAAAAAGAGGTAGTGCCATCTGTAATCTCAGTGCTCCTATGGGGAGACAGGTGGTAGAGACAGAGTCCTGGGAAATTCACAGGCCAGCTAGCCTGATGTATTGCAGCTGAAAAACAACAATAAAACAAAAAGCCCTTTCTCAAGGTGGAAGGCAAGTACTGGAACCCAAGATCCTCTTCTAACTTTCACAAGAACACAGATCCCCATCTCCTCCAACCCCCCAAGACAGGGTTTCTCTTTGTAGCCCTTGCTGTCCTGAACTCACTCTGTAGACCAGGCTGGCCTCAAACTCGTAGAGATCCACATGCCTCTGCCTCCCAAGTGCTGGATTAAAGGTGTGTGTCACCACCCCCTGACACATTTTTTTTTAAATCACTATTTTAAAAAGTGGTGGCATGTGCCTATAATGCCAGCATGGGCTACAGTGTGAGACCTTCTCCCAAAACAAACTTTCAGTAGGTCTTGGTGGCATGTACCTGTAATCTATCTAGCACTTGAGGAATGGAGACAGGAGGATCAGTACTTAAGGCCAGTCTCAGTTACTGAGTTTGAGACAAGGTTGGACTGCCTGAGACTTGTCCCCCAAACAAAAACAACTAGTGTATTTGAGCCAGAAGGATTTCCAGCCTGATTTTTTTTTTAATAAGATAGATTTTTGGAGGGGGGGGGTTATTATGTATTCAGTATTCTGTCTGCATGTTGCCTGCAGGCCAGAAGAGGGCACCAGATCTCATTACAGATGGTTGAGAGCCACCATGTGGTTGCTGGGAATTGAACTCAGGACCTCTGGAAGAGCAGCCAGTGCTCTTAACCTCTGAGCCATCTCTCTAGCCCCTTCAGCCTGATTTAAAAAATAAAATAATAGGGCTGATAAGATGACTCAACTTAGTTCCAAGCCAGATGATCTGAGTTCCAGCCCTGGGACCCACATGGTAGAAGGTGAGAACCAACTTTCAGAGTTGTGTAACTTCCACATGCATTCTGTGGCATGCACACTTCTGCACACACACACATATATATATACACACATGTCCATACAAAAAAATGTTGAACTGAGGATAGAGCTCAGTGATAGAGGGCTTGCCTAAAATATATTAGGCTTAGATTCAATCTGAGACTGCTTGTACCCCTCCCCCCAAAAAAAGGTTAAAAATTAAAAATACACTTTAAAATGACCTTTTAAATATAATTAGGGGGCTGAAGAGAAGGCTCAGCAGTTAAGAGCACTGGCTGCTCTTTTAGAGGATCTGGGTTTGATTCCCAGCACCCGAATAGTAGCTTACAGCTGTGTCTAACACCGGTCTCAGGGACTCTGAAGCCCTCTTCTGGCCTCTGGGCATTCACATGGCGCACAGACATAAATACAGAAATACACCCAGACGCATAAAAAATTAAATAAAAAATAGTCATTTGGTTGTGAATCGTTAATAACTAGTTTGGAAGAAATTACTCTGAAAGATAAGTACCCTGCTACCCTGTTTGTGTTTTGGAAAGTATTACTATATACTAAGACATTTGCTGGAGAAATATTTTGCTTTTGAGACAAGGATTTGCTGTTGGACTAGGTTGGACTTAGAACTCAGTATGCAGCCCAGGTTAGTCTCAGACTTAAGTAGTATTTCAGCTCCTGCTCTTGATACTGAGGTTACAGATATGCTTTAGATGACTTTTTTAAGCAAGTTTTTTTGAATTACGTTCTAAGAAATCTCAGTATGTTGAATATAGTGGAATTAGTACTTTGAGACAGAACTTGCATTTTAGTTGTATTGTGATCTGTAATATTTTGATGCAAAGGTAATATATTTGAAAGAGTAATTGCAGTGGTTTCTGTGAGTATCCCTGACTTGATGACAGTTTGTCCAGGAATTGTTATTGTGCACATTTGTTTTTTCATCAGAAGTTTGGTGAGAATTTAGGAAAGTAAGCTGAGGTTGGACATGTTAATAGACTTTTATGGAATTTTCTGGATTGTATAAACATTAAGTGATAAAAAGCAGTTAACATTTGAAGCTGAGCTTTAGTACTGTTTTTACATTTATTTTTTGGCTATATGGCATATTCTTTATATAAGTACCTAATGGCATATTCTTTTTTTTTTTTTTTTGGTTTTTCGAGACAGGGTTTCTCTGTGTAGCTTTGCGCCTTTCCTGGAACTCACTCTGTAGACCAGGCTGGCCTCGAACTCACAGAGATCCGCCTGGCTCTGCCTCCCGAGTGCTGGGATTAAAGGCGTGCGCCACCACCGCCCGGCTGGCATATTCTTGATAGAATGGTTCTCAGACTTGAAAGCAGTTAAAAATGTGTGGGATTTTGGTATCTCTTTCCTTAAAAACAACAAAACTATACATTCTTATGAAGTGCTCCGCTGGTTTCAGACTCTTCTTCGTAATGTACAGTTCAGTGTGGCCTGTGCGTGTTGTTTTGATTCCTGCATTGATTTTTGCCTCCATTTATTCTCTATTGCAGTCTAAAAGTTGGTTTTAATTGGGTTGCCCACAGGATTGACTTGGCCTCTACTTAAGAAAATACATCTCTTGTTTTACAAGGTAAGAGATTTTGAATAGAAGGTTTATTTTTATACAAAACAAAATGAGATACCTTATTAAGAAATAAGAAAGTAGATGTAATGTGCGTGCGTGCATGCGTGCGTGAGAGAGAAGCGTGTCTGAGGGATAGGGTGGTATGAACAGTTGCTTCCTCTGTTGTATTTATATGGATACATTTCTTATTGTTAGGTAGTAAGAATTATAGACAGATTGTAGATTCCAGTGCTTCTTGGTGTGGTTATTTATATTTCCTAGAAATACAAGTGTAAATGTTAGGTAATAGTTTGTGGAGTACGAATTTTAAACCTTAGCAATTGAATTGAACCTTTTGTTGAAGGGAGAAGCCATGCTCAAGCTAGGTTAGTAGCAGAATGACAGATGTCATTTCATACTTTTCAAAACCGAACAGTGTTTCTTGTCAGATAGCTTTAGGAGCAAGTCTTGTACCCTGCTTGGTTTAATTCTCCAGCCCTTTTCCAGCTGGCAATCCTTTTTTTTTTTTTGGTTTTTCGAGACAGAGATCCGCCTGCCTCTGCCTCCTGAGTGCTGGGATTAAAGGCATGCGCCACCACCGCCTGGCCCAGCTGGCAATCTTAGGCAGGGTATTAATAATCAGAATGTTTTCGTGGGTGCCTTGTACCAACTTTCAGTAAATCTCTTAACAGTATAGTTTAGAAACTTACTGTGAATGCCATTTAGGCTTGTGTTTAATCTCTGTTCTTGGGACCATTTCAAGTTCTCATCTTATTCTTCAATTACAAACTAAAGTGTATGTATCTTTTTCTCAGGTTTTGAATACCCCCATAGAAAGTGATGGAACCTTTTTTGAAGTTTAACAGGTGCCATCACAATTTGCACTTAAACATGTTTCAGATTCAGTAAGGAATGTGAATTTGACTCAGTTATTTGGAAGTATTCTGATAAACTTTCATATTGTCTGCTAAATAGAAAACCGAGAAAGTCTGTTGGTGATCTTTATTTCTTTTTTTTTCAGTTGTGTGTGTGTGCTTTGCGAGTGCTGGGGCTAGCAGTGACACACATGTGGAAGTCATAGGGCAGCTTGGGAGAGTCAGTTGTCTGTTTCTACCATGCAGATCCCAGGGATCCAACTTAGGTTTTTACTTCCTGAGCCATCTTACCAGCCCTCTTGTCAACTCTTGTAGTTCATATCTGAAAAGCTTTACTCACCCACTCCACCTCCGTTTTTAGTGGGTTTTTTTTGTTTTTTTTGTTTTTTTGGTTTTTCGAGACAGGGTTTCTCTGTGTAGCATTGTGCCTTTCCTGGAACTCACTTGGTAGCCCAGGCTGGCCTCGAACTCACAGAGATCCGCCTGGCTCTGCCTCCCGAGTGCTGGGATTAAAGGCGTGCGCCACCACCGCCCGGCTGTTTTTAGTGTTTTATGATGGTCTTATAAAATATTTTCTATTTGCTAGTCCATCATTCCTGATTAAATTTGAAGGTTGCTTTTATCTTTGTGTATAATTGTATGAGAAAAACTATGAAGGAGTAGGGGATATCAGTCAGTTGGTAGAGGGTTTGCTTAGCAAGCACAACTTGACTCAGTCCCCAGTATCACATAAACTGGGTTTTAGGTGGCACATCCCAGCACTAGGGAGGTAAAGGCAGGAGGATCCGGAAGTTCAGGGTCATCTGGCTGTGTAGCCAGTTTAAGAGTAGGTTACGCTCCATGAGACACTGTTTCAAAAAAGGAAGCCATACTTGAGTAGTCAAAGAGGAGAGACCAAACAGACAGTAAGAGTGTTAACAGTACAGAATTTGTCATCATTTCGTTGTGTTGGTTCTGTTTGTGTAAGATGTAAAGGTCAGGGGCTCTTAACTGTTTGCAAATAGAATGTGATTCTAAATACACCATTTGGTTATGTTTGATTTTTTTTTTTTAATTTCTTCAGGTATAGTAAACAGTGAGATGTAGTTTTTTGTTTGTTTGTTTGTTTGTTTTTGGCTGCTCAAAAAGTCTTTAAAATAGAACATATAGCCAGGAATGGTGGTATGCCTTTTAATGCCAGCACTCAGGAGGGAGAGCAGAGGCAGATGGATCTCTCTGCATTTGAGGACAGCCTGGTCTCCCTAGGGAGATATCTGCCTGCCTCTGACTCCTGGATGTTAGGATTAAAGGTGTAGGCCAACACAGCCAAATTTGTCTGCCTCTGCCTCCCAAGTGCTGCCCTATTACTATTATTAAAGAATTATTTTATGTATATGAGTATTTTGCTATGTATATGTGTGTACCGCATGTGCCTGGTGCTCATGGAGGACAAAAGCAAGCATCAGATCTCCTGGAACTGAGTTAGAGGTGGTTGTGAGCTACTAGGAGGGTGCTGGGCCTCAGTATCTCTGCAAGAGCAGTAAACACTCTTAGCTGTTGAGTCATTTCTCCAGCTGAACCCTATTATTATTATTTTACAATCATTTATTTGTGTGTGTGTGTGCGCGCGCGCGTGCGAAGAGAGAGAGAGAGAGAGAGAGAGAGAGAGAGAGAGAGAGAGAGAGAGAGAGAGAGAGAGAGAGAGACTGAGTTGATTCTCTTAACTGTGTGGATCCTGGGGATGGAACTCAAGCTGAGCCATCTCGCTGAGCCCCTCTCCCCACCTCCTTTTATTTATTTTTTTGAGATAGGTTTTGCTTTATAAGGAGATCAATGAGCAACCAGAGATTCAGTAGGAGTTAAATTGAGTCAGGGGCCCTAATAGTGAATTATACATTAATGTGTGTAATCTGTGGTGTTGGTCTTGAATTCAAGATCCTCCTGCCTCAACCTCTCAAGTACTAGGATAATTGACATTCACCACCATACTGAGCTTTTGTGGAATTGGGGATGATCCTAGAGCTTTATGAGTGCTAGGCAGACATTCTACCAACTGATGTATTTTGTTTATTTCTTTGAAACTGAGTCTCATTCACTGAAGCTCTCACTGGCCTGGAACTGTGTAGAGCAGCATGGCTTCAAACTCAGAAATCCACCTCTCAAGTGCTGGGATTAAAGGGAGTTCTACCATGTCTGGCCCAAGTTGGTTTTTGTTTGTTTGTTTGTTTGTTTAAGATTTAAAAGTTGTTTTAAGGGGCTGGAGAGATGGCTCAGAGGTTAAGAGTACCTCTTGCTCTTCCAAAGGTCCTGAGTTCAATTCCCAGCAACCATATGGTGGCTCACAACCATCTGTAATGAGATCTGGTGCCCCCTTCTGGCCTGCAGGGATATGCGCACTGTATACATAATAAATAAATAATTTAAAAAAAATTTAAAAGTTGTTTTAAAAAAAGATTTAATGCAAAATTTGGTAGAGTCACTAGACCTGAGTTTTGGTTAAATAGCCATGGTGAATAGTGGTGTGACAGGTTCCACTTTAGGGTGATAATTACAGTTTAACTCAGATTTTGGCTATTCTATTTAGTATTTCTTTGGATTCTCAATATACTTATAGTAAACCGAGAAAGAGTGTGTGCATGCATGCATGTATGTGTGTGTACACATGTGCACGTATATGAGCATGTGTGTACAGGCAAAGCCTGAGAGAGGATGTCAGGCACTCCATTGGAAATAGGCTGCCAGTTGCGGGGGTCCAGCTAGTTTCAGATGTATTCATCCACACCCATGTGGATGCAGGGAGAGAACTCATGTTCTCATGGTTGTACATACAGCAAGTGCTCTTACCCCCCTGAGTCATCTCTGCAGCCCCAGATATTCCTTTGTTTTAATATTAAAACTATAAAATAAACGGAAAATTTTACTACGAAATAGGGAATCTGTTATCATTTGAGATTTCTGGTGCTAAGGATTGAATTCAGGGTCTTGTGAATGCTTTCACATTTGAGATATGTCTTTCATTTTATTGTTAGGTATTTGTAATCCATGAATATTCCAGTTTTCTGGGGTTTTTTTTTTTTTTTTTTTTTTGGCTTTTGAGATTGAGCCTTATAAGGTATCACTCTGATAACTATGAAATTGTAAAGTTTAAAAGGAAGATGTTAAATCAGTTTTAAATATTAATTTTGATGCACCCTTTGCATGATTTCCCCCTATAGGTTTGTATGCATTTCTTTTAAATCTCACAGAAGGTTTAGTGCTCTGAATGATGTTTATTGTGACTTTATTGTCCTATAGTTTTTCTTGAATCTTTTGAACCTTGGACTGAAATTCTTTATAATTGATTCCAGAATTAAAGCCTTTAGAAGTTGAAATTGTTCAGATATTCCAATGATCTAAATTAAAGACATTGTGATAGCTTGAGGGAATGCTTGTGGGATAATATGGTAGCTGGTCGTTCTTGCAACTAACAACTTGGTATAATAAAAAGGAGTCTGACATGGCCGTTGCCTTTTCTCATCTGCAGGTGTGTGTGGTTTCAGCGCAGCATGGCTGTGGTCATCCGTTTGCAAGGTCTCCCAATTGTGGCGGGGACCATGGACATTCGCCACTTCTTCTCTGGATTGACCATCCCTGATGGGGGCGTGCATATTGTAGGGGGTGAACTGGGTGAGGCTTTCATCGTTTTTGCCACTGATGAAGATGCAAGGCTTGGTATGATGCGCACAGGTGGTACAATTAAAGGGTCAAAAGTAACACTATTACTGAGTAGTAAAACAGAAATGCAGAATATGATTGAACTGAGTCGTAGGCGTTTTGAAACTGCCAACTTAGATATACCACCAGCAAATGCTAGTAGATCAGGACCACCACCTAGCTCAGGGATGAGCAGCAGGGTTAACTTGCCGGCAACAGTACCCAACTTTAATAATCCTTCACCAAGTGTAGTTACTGCTACCACTTCTGTTCATGAGAGCAACAAAAACATACAGACATTTTCCACAGCCAGCGTAGGAACTGCTCCTCCAAGTATGGGGACTTCGTTTGGGAGTCCAACATTCAGCTCGACCATTCCGAGTACAGCTTCTCCAATGAACACAGTCCCACCACCACCAATTCCTCCAATTCCAGCGATGCCATCTTTGCCACCGCTGCCATCCATTCCCCCAATACCAG